TCTTGTACTACTTCAGGTTCGTCAGCAAGTACTTCAGGTCCGTCCGGGAGTACTTCAGCTCGTACGTCAGGATGTACCATCGTTGAATCAGTTGCTTGGTAAATGATTCCTCCTGAACCATTGGTATTCTTAGGATTAATTTGATGGTGAATAATTAACCTTAGGCCTTGAGCTTGTTCAGCACTCCATCGAGGCAAGCATTCTCCAAAATGCTCCATGTGAATCAGTTTGGTGTGTGGACTGGTTTGCTCCCGGTTTATTCTGGTTTTGATGTTTGCATCACAACGGTGCACCACCTAAATCCTATTATGTTTCCAACTCATGATAGCCTGGTGGTGCTCTCATAACAACAAATCAATTTGAATTATCATCTTCCCTAGAGTAGAAAACATGTTTTGCTTGAGAAGGCAGAATGAATGGATCTTTCAAAAAGGCTGCTTGGTTCATATGAAGGTAACAAGAGTGAAGCCATCTTCTTCCTTTAGACCATTCCCTGTGTTGGCCCAATTGCATCTAAACAGTGGCCCAATTTCCTTTATCACTCCATATTATGTAATCATATCAGCTACTTGTCTCATATGTCGAGCACTTGATCTACACATGCTAAACGCTTCATAAGTTACTCCACTGTTTTGTATCTTCCGCTTAACCGTATCCGTATGAAATCGTTGCCCATTAATGATAAATCCATTATGTGCTAGAGCAACATTTCTTGATCCAAATGCCAACTACCTTATCTCTTTAGAATGATTATTTGTTGAGTCTGAATGAATATGCCACAGGAAGATCAGAACATGATCATCAAGCTGAAGTATTAAAATGATAATCACGAAAACCAGTCATCAAGCAAAACATGATCATGAAGCTAACAATCTGTGCCAAGAAAACCAGTCATCAAGCTAGAAGCTAACCAGTCATCAAGCTACAAGCTAACAGTCAATCTAACAAGCTGTATATAAAAAAATAATCAAGAAGACAAGTTGTTTCTGGAAACCTTTCTTTTAAGCCATTGTGCAAACTGCTCAATATGGTTTTTCCATAGTAAAGTTTCATTTCTAGCACATCGAGCATCATTAGCTTTTAATTCTTACAAATGCATCCTGATTGGCCATCAAACAACAATTTATAGGATGAAATATGTGGTTACATCCATAAGTAGCTTGCTCCATCTTTATTCCATTTCATATATGTCCGAGGATCCGCATAGCCCTTATAATTATAAGTTGATGAAACATAAAGGGAAACCTCTTACTCGACAAAAGGATCCAAAGATGCCATGTTCATTAGCACATAGCAATGTGCATTATCTCTATCTTTATATGATAGTGTAACCTCTATACGCTTCTGCAGAGGTCAACCTTCTACCACAATTCTATCATACTCAATATCTTTACGATTAACCATTTCTTGAACTGGTACTGAATCTTTAAGGAACTCTAAACAAAATGCATCGCATTCTCCAGCTAAATACCCCTCAGCCATACATGCTTCTGGCCTTGCATGATTCTTAACAAAAACCTTAAGTGTTTTCATGTACCTATAAATCAGTCAAGAAACGAATATTACTCGAACCTCATTGCAGGAAATACATATATTGACGAAAATGAGTACATCAAACCTTTCGAAGGGATACATCCAGCGGAAGTGTACAAGCCCTCCCAAACGTACCTCTTTTGATAGATGTATTGGAAGGTGGAACATGATATCAAAAAGGGATGGAGGGAAGAAGCGCTCTAGTTGACACATTGTTTCCACAAACTCTGTCTCCATCGTAATAAGTTTCTCAGGGTCAATGATGCGCTGACACAACCTGTTGAAGTAACTGCATAATCTATTTATTGCAATCCGAGGACCCTTATGTAACAACCCTCTTAATGCAGCCGGTAACAAGTTTTGTACTAGAACATGATGATCATGCGACTTTAAACTACCTATATTTGGAGGAGTAACTGAAACACTAGGTGAACCAAGGTTTTTATGTGCTCTTGGAGTTCAATTCCCCAATGCGATGTAGCATAAGAGGTTATCGATCCAAATGGATGTATTGTAAACAATCAAGATATAGCATAACTAATCAAGTCAAGCCAAGCAGTTGAAAGTTTGGTTTACAAAACTTTAATGCATAAAAGTAACCTAAAAATGACAAACTAAAAGATCTAAGAATAGTACTAAAGATAAACTAAAAGATCTAAGGGCATCATTATCGCAGCATTCGATCGGGCCTTCGGGCATTTAAATAAGCCCAATAAAATCAAACAGGGAAAACGCAAGGTCCATCCGCTTCTTCTCCAACAAGCGTTGGACTCCGAATCTTAGGCCACGTGGCGCAGTGGGAGTGGGTTAAAAATAAAGATTTTTCTTTGGTTTATTATTTTGTGTTTTGTCGAAAGAAGAAAAAATCCCCAAATCGTGTTTCTTCCTCTTTTGTTCGAACCCTAGTTTCATCGACCATGGGAACGATTTTTGATCTCTGTTCTTTCTTCTTTCTCTGTCAAACACAATCGATTTAGGGGCTTATCGAAATCCTTCATTCGAAATCCACCGTCTTATCGAAATCCTTCATTCGTTTTCTTCTCCGGGAGATCTCACCGTCTCTTAATCCACCGTCTTTGTCCATCCTCCGTCTTTGTCCACCCTCCTCCGCGTCTTCTGGATCTCGGCCTTTTCCTCTTCCTAGTTTCTCCGTGTTTGTCCATCCTAGTCAGGTACAAGTCTCTTCTCAGTCTTGTTCTTATTTTGTTCACTTTCTTCTTTGGTTGAATTCACCCTGTCTGTAAAGTTTGCTATTGTTGATTCACAATTAACTAGCGTTGGATATTTGGTTCTCTCTAGTTCGTTATTGTAAAAGCTTATCAGAATTAAGGTTTTTATCGTTTGATTTATTGTTTAAACTCGAGTGTAAACATCATCTGTCTTTTTGTGATATTTAGGTTACGGTATAATTAGATGGCATTGGAATTATCTGTTGTATTGTAACATTAAGTTGTGATCTGTTGTTTAGAAGTGGTATGATAGAGGATTTGCATGATTTGTATCTTTTCTCGGTATGTTGATATGTTGTTTAGGAGAGGTTCTGAGGAGAATGTTGGTTTACTGAG